CATGTTTTTTCCTGTCTTCATGTTTTTTCCTGTCTTCATGTTTTTTCCTGTCTTCTTGTTTTTCCTGCCTTCCTGTTTTCATGCTCCAGACCTACCATATCCAGAGGTCTGAAGACGTGGTGCACCAGCTCCTCGGACGACGGACTGGCGATCGTGGATTTCAGCCGAGCCTGGAGGAAAAACCACAGCTAGTCGTTACATCTGGAGGCTCAGCAGCCGATAAATGGTGAGTCCAGTAAAAACACGAACCAGCAGGCAGAAACTGTATTTAAACTTCTGGAAGATGTCGATGAACTCGTCCTCTGACGGCGGCCGGGCTTTTTCTGCCAGCAGATCATCTGGAAACCAGTAAACAAGCCAGTTATTCCCACTCTGAGGGGAAGCTTTTACTTTGAAAAGAATCAGGCGGCGTTTACCTTCAGCAGTCTGCTTCTTGCTTTTCTTCTTCTTTTTCTTCCTCAGGGTCAGGATGTTTGATGCTTCGGCCGTCTGCTGCAGCTTCCCCATGAACGACTCGATGTCGTCGAAGCAGTGGTTCAGGATCGTCTGAGGTACGAGAGGCACAACGTTATTCACTCTGTTGGGGAACAAACACTGCACTGCAAAAACACAAAGTCTTACCAAGTATTTTTGGTCTAGTTTATTGCAAATAAGACAAAGCAAACTTACAGAACAGCTTGTTTTAGGTAAATAAGTCCTTAATATTTATGAACAACTAAAAGTCCCAATGGAAGATTATTTTTCTCATTGGAAAAATGTCTTGTAAATATAGCTAATACTTTCTAAGCTAAATATTTAGCTTTCTAACAGTTTGAAAACTTGCTAAAATATTTAGTTTTGAGCTAAATATTTTGTTTTGAACTGACATGTCTTGATCAAAATGCAACTTTATAGCACATGATTTTCTTAATCTTTGACTGTTGGTGTAATTTATTTACACATTTTTGTATTTCAAGTCAATAATTCCTTAATATTGATGAAAAGGTTTTCGCTCAGATTATTACAGTTATAATATGGAAAAATGTTTTGTTATAAGTGGAGCTAAAACTTTTGAAGTATTAAGGAATTGTTGACTTAAAACAAGCTCCTATATCTTGTTGAAAAGTTACTATAAGTTAGTTTAGTCTAATTTTAAGTATAAAACCATATTTGCCTGAGAAACCAGTAAGTCCTTGTTAAGGTTTTGTGTTTTTGCAGTGTAGAAGAGAGGAAATGAAACGGGAGCGTACCACTTCTCTCTCTGCACGCAGGAAGGAGATGTCCGGCCCGTTTGGTCCGTTTGCTGTGGAATCGGTTCAGTTATGATTCTTTTAATCAGGTTTAGATTCACTGCTGACACACAGACGGACGCCGCCGTTTTGTCTCTTACCTTTCAGTCCAGGGTAGGGCGGCGGGTTGACCGGCGGCGCGTTGGGCGCGTACGGGAACGGAGGGCTCGGGATGTCGTACGGCTCGTACATCTTCCCTTCGCTCTTAGGATTCCTGCCGGAGACGAGAGGCGACTTTTAAATCCTCGGCTTCAGGAGCCGTTTGTGGGCGGCTGCCCAGAGCGGCGCGTGCTGTAGGGCGGCCCATCCACCAGAATTTAGTTTGTAAACTAAACATTTATCTTCCTAACTGCGTATTTAGTTTGTAACTAAATATTTTAACTAAAATTTTTGTTAGTAATAAAATATTTAGTTTATTTTCTAAATATTAGCTTGGTAACTAAATACTAATTTAAGCTAAGCCTTTAGCTTGCTAACAATATATTCAGTTTTGAGAAATAGATATTTATTTTCCAAACTAAATGTTTATTTTGCAAAACTAAATATTTAGCTTGCTAACACAATATTTAATTTGTGAACTAAATATTTAACTATCACTATTAGTGAGATAGGGCTGCACAGTGGCACAGTTGGTAGAGCTGTTGCCTTGCAGCAAGAAGGTTCTGGGTTCAATTCCCAGCCCCGGTCTTTCTGCATAGAGTTTGCCTGTTCTCCCTGTACATGCATGGGTTTTCTCCAGGTACTCCAGTTTCCTCCCCCAGTCCAAAAACATGTCAGGTTAATTGGCCTCTCCAAATTGCCCCTAGGTGTGAGTGAGTGTGTGTGTGTGTGCATGGTTGTTTGTCTCTGTGTTGCCCTGTGACAGACTGGTGACCTGTCCAGGGTGACCCCACCTCTCACCCGGAACGTTAGCTGGAGAGGCACCAGCACCCCTCCTGACCCCACTAAGGGACAAGGGTGTAAAGAAAATGGATGGATAGTAATTCATTTATTAAATGTATTTATGAAACTTTTTTGAATATTTTATATTTGTTAATTTTTAGCTACATGTTTATAGTATTATAGTTACTTTCACGTTGTTTCATATAAAATAACAGAATAAATAAAATCTATGGAGCTACATGATGATGTAAATGATGCTCGTCGGCCCCGGGAACCAACCGGGTAGCACCGCCCCTGCTGGGCTCCTCCAGGGGTTAAAGGTCAAAGCTGCTGTTTGTTGTGTAAATGCCCTTCGGCGAGGGCTGAAGAGTCAAATACGAAGTCAAAGACACACAACACAAATTCTCCTCTGTGAATATTTAAATCAGGTGTCCAAAGTGCGGGTCGGGGGCCTTTTACGGCCCTCAGAAGGATTCTTGGCGGCCCTTCATCACAGCTCATGCAGCTGATGCAGATTTAAAACAATGTTGAGGTGAAGTTTTCACTGATATCAGGTAAAGCAAAGCAAAGTTTTCATCCAGGTTTCTGCTTTGAATTTAATTTATTTTAATGATAAAAGCTAAAACGCTGAGCGTTTTAGTTTAATAAAGTCATCAAAATGAAGCCAGACTGAGTCATATTCTGTTCTTGTTGCTAAAAAGATTTTAAAAAAAGTTCAGAAGAAAATTAAAAATGTAGCATATGGTTTACTTCTCTTTTGTTTCCTTTAAATCTGTCAAACCTGAAGGAGGCTTTTTGTTTTCAATTTATGATTTACACATTTACAGAAATACACATTTTCTGGATTTAGTGTTTAGTTTATTGTTTAACTAGCTGGTCAAAATAAAAAAGCTCTTAAAATTTTATTTCAACTTGACATTTTTGGCCTAAAAAGTTTGGACTCCCTGATTTAAATGCAAACCATTTAATCTTATAAGCAGAATTACTGCTAAAAAACGAGTAAAAGAAATAAAATAAAATAAAAAAAGAAGCTTGAAGTTAACTTTTAGACATTTAAATCTCACATTTTAATAAATCCTACCTAATAATTCCCTCTTTTCTGGATGAATTTGATAGAAATGTGGGTTTCTGTCTGTCTTACCGTGTTCGTTTTGCCCTTGGAGCGTCGGTGAAAGCGAAGCCAGTGGGAGCAGGTGATCCTGTCAGCAAACTGGCCTCGCTCTCACTGTCACACCTTCTTAAGTTATGCAGAAACCGGTAAAACGGGTCTGTTTCTGTCTCAGCTGTTTACATTGTCCTGCTGCGTTTCTGCCGCCCTGCCGGCCTTTTCAGCGCCGTGGACGGAAAATGACAGAACATCAAAATCGACCCGCATCCATCGCCGCTTTACTCTGAGAAAAACTGAAGCTAAGCCTGGTCCTCGTCTGGTTTCCACTAGAAACATACACAGAAACTAAACTCACCTGAAACAGAAGTGGGCAGATAACCCAGAAACTAAACTCGAGTTAGAGTAAAAAAGTATCTGGTGAAAAGTTTACTCAACTACTGAGTAACTGATCAATTATCAATCATTTAATATTTAAATCACCAGAAGAACCAAAATACAAAGTTAAGTGGAAATTTTGGTATTTTAAGGATGAAAATGACAATAATTGGTTTAAAGTGTGTCTGAGTCTGGTGAGTTTCTGGTTGTTTTTCATTCAGTGGGAGAAAATCCAGACATTTTATCAAGAGTAGAAAGTACTGCATAATAAAAATACTCCTAAAAGTACATTTTGTTCCAAACTTCACTGAAGTAGATGTAACTAGTTTCTACCCAGCTCTATCGTTATTATTTTAACTTGTTTTAGGAAATATTGATTAAAAATCTGGCTGAATATTTCACTTATAACAAGACATTTTCCCATATTATAATTGAAATAATCTGCCAGTGGGACTAATTATTTTTTAAAATAAATATTAAGGAATTATTGACTCAAACTGAAAAGTTGCTTTTAATTTAGCTTTTAGTCTTTAACCAAAAATTCAAACAAGCTGAAAGAAATTCATTTGGAAACTTTTTTTATTTTGACTGATTTTGTTATTTTATTTTATTATTATTGTTCTACATTTGATTTTGTTATGTGATTATGTTATTTATATTAATTATTTACATTCTGGTCTTTAAAATACCAAAATATCCACATAAGTTTATTTTTAATTTGTCTAATGATGTAATGATTAAACATAACATCATTAATGTTTTATCATTTTATCAGAACTTGTATCAGAAAGTATTTGATACCAAATACATTTTTATTTTTTTAGTACTGAACCCATTTCTGGTTTTGATATTTATACTACACTGAAAAAACAAACAGGTGATCCAACTAAAAAAAAACGGAGTTAATTTGTTACAGTAATTAAATTAAGTATTTCTTTAACAGTTGTCATGTTAAAGAAACAGGAATAAATTAAGTTTGACAAACTTATTTTTATTACATGTAACAAATTAACTCGTATTTTTAGCTCCATTCTCTTTTTTCAGTGTATAAACTAGATAAAAATATTTGGTAAAAGTTTGTGTTTTTGCAGTTTTGCGTTAATTTGAGAGAGTTTATCTCCATGTCAACAGTAGAAGTGAAATCAAAACCTAGATTAGATCTTTAGGAGTTTTTATGACATCAGATGTTTTCCAGGATTTTCCCTCCATATATTTCGTACCTTTCGGCGTCGGGAGCCATCTTGCTGCTGCTGGAGACTTCGGAAACGGCACCTTTAATGTCTTCACAGATCAGCTCTGCCTGTGGGAACAACCAGCGTCAGTGAGGGAAGTCGAGCAGAGCCGGCCGCCGCCGCCGCCGCCGCCGCTCCTACCTGCATCGGTTCGCAGTTGAAGAAGTGAATGTCTGGCTTCTTCTGATTGGCGCGCTGGCAGATCAGCAGCAGCAGCGAGGGGAAGTGCTTCACCGTGTCAATGGTGTCGCAGCGGTAGATGTCTCGGAATGAGTAACGCTCCAGTTCATCCTATATGAAAACACACTTCAGTTGGAGAAACTTCTGCATATGCGAGTTAAACAGCTGCTTCAGGCCTCCACACCACCAGGGGGCTCCCAAGAGCAACAACATACCATCGAATAATACAAACTAAATGCTATTAGTCAGGGAAAAACTATCTCTATATATTTTTTGTATTTGGTACACAAATAATAGATTAATCTCTTGCTGCTGTTCCCATTGGCCATAAAATTGAGCAAATTAAAATTATGAAAATAAATTCTCTAATTGGAAACACGGCAATTTAGAAAAAGCTCACAATTTTCAGTACAAAGTTTATGAAGTGTTTTTTCAGCTGTATTGGTGTATTTTGCAAAACTGCAATTGAAACACTTTTTTCGCATCACTTGAGTCACATTATCAGCAGCTGGATATTACTACTGCCAGAAATGACAAAGAAGACGACAGGAAGTAGTGGGAAGATGACGGTACAGCACGGTTTAGTTACTTATTGCATGAACAAAAGAATTAAGGTGTGATTTTAATTGCATTTCTTACTTAATGGAAACACCGCAATGCTGAAATTGTGTTTTTTCGACATTAGTGGGATATCGACAAACTTTTGCGCACATTTGTAACGGAAACACAGCAACTGTTTGTGAAATATAAGTTATGAAACATGGTAACTTATTTACTGTAAATTTAATGTAAGTGTATTACATATAGAGTAACTGAGGAATGATAAAGCATCTGGTGTTGACATCCTGGTACAGGGGCCCCAATGAAAATCGGCTTGGGCCCCAGAGAGACTTTGGCCGGCCCTGGAAAAATAGGAGAATTAGGAAACATTTTGAATGAAACATTTCCATCCATTTGGCTGATGATTTGATGTAAAGTTGAAGAACTCGTATTTAGTCCTTCTGCTTCCTCATTTTTTCCAAATTATAACACTTTCTGTGAAACTACCCCACAGCATGACGCCACCACCACTTTGCTGCACAGTCAGTGAAGGGATTTAGGCCTGAAAGCCAAACATGGAAGTCTGAGTCAGATGGTTGAAACTTGGATATAACTGGATGATCCAACAGGACGATGGTCCCAAACACATCTGAGTAAAAATAATAATATTCATGTCCTTTGCTAAAAGTTCACCACTAACCAAGACGTTTAAACAAACTGATTAAAAATTCAGCTAAAATCAGACCAGAAGGAGCCGAGTTTACTGACTTTGACAAGGACTCTGGTTTTCAATGAGCAGCTTCCCTAAAAAAGCTGCAGGAAAAACAGCAAACAGAGCAGCTGTCTCCATCGGCGTTACGCCTGAAGGGCTGCTGGTGTTTTAACTCCCTCACATTTCATTCACTTTAGATTAAAACTTCATTTCTGCTGCCAGTCTGCAGTGAAACTGATGTGGAAACGAACAACAGTTTGTGACGTTTAAATCTCACACTCAGCTGCTGAATTCATGTCTGACACAGATCCACTCTGAGGATCGTGTTCCTCACATATGGAACACCAAAAGAACCAAAAAATTAGCAAAATCTCATGTGTCTTTCATACACTGCAGTTGTATGTAAATAAACCAAATATCCAGCCAATCACAGACAGATAGTTTTCATTCAGCTGTTAAAACGCCTGGGTGGACCTAGCCCCACCTTCGAGGCGCAGCTCCTCAGACTAGCCAGCAGCAATTAGCAAACAGCTGGTGGGCTCATTATGTTAGGTGGAGCTTCAGAAAGAGGCAGAAGTATTTAAAGAGACAGTCGCCCAATTTCAAGGAGTTAAATCAGGAAGTAAAATTTATTTTGAGTCATATTTGATATTTATAGTATTTTTATATCAACTGAAGGAAACTTGTAAACACAATTGTGCTATAAAATGGCTCCATGTGCCTGGAAAACACGACGCTGCCCCTTTAGTGGAAACATCATAATTCTAAATCTGTGTTTTTTCGATGTCAGCAGAATATAGACACAGATTTGTGCAGGTTTCAGACGGACACGCGGCTCGTGCCTCACCTCACTGCTGGCGTCTCGGAAACGAAGCGAGTTGCTCCCGATGTCCAGCAGCATCTTCTGGCTCCACAGTTTGTTGTTGTCGGCCAGGAAGGAGAGGCGGGCCTGCGCCTCCTCCACGCCCTGGACGTTCCCGTCCTGCAGCGAGAACGTCAGCAGGTGCTGCAAAAATAAAAACAGATAAAGTCAGAAAGTTCATCTCGCATCATTTCTTCCAGCAGAGTCTGGTAGCAAATTATTACATTTACTCAGTTACATTAACGGGTAACTTGTTTTGTACTTTTAGAAGTATTTTACCTCACTGTACTTTATACTTTTACTTGAGTTATTTTATTCTGAAGTATCTCTGCTTACTTGAGTAAAATTTCTGAATTCTGAATGAAAAACAAACATGTTTCAACCACCAGACTCATACCTGCAGTTTCTGTTACAGTTTCATGAGTTTTATTTAGAAAGAAACTGATTTGGAAACATTTTCTTTTGCCTGATTTTTAATTTTTTTTTTTACTTATATGAATTATTGTCCTTTTCGTCCCTAAAATACCAAAATTTCCACTTAACTTTATATTTTGGTCTGTCGGATGATGTAATTCTAAAACATTAAATGATTGATAATTTGATCAGTTACTTTTTACCAAATACTTCTTTACTCTTGAGTATTTTCTTGGCTACTTTATACTTTCTTCTACTCTTAGTGAGTAGTTTTTTGTGGCCGTATGGAAAATACTCACGTTTACCAGATGTTTCATGACTCGCGTCATCTTCTTGCCTGGAGGAAAGACAGAAAATGAATCTCAGAGCTTTGAACAGATTTTTCTAAACCTGATGTTAAATCTCTAAACAGCGGCTTCATTCAAATCAACCTCCGATTGTTTTCCGCCTGCCAGCCGAGCCGCCTCCGCCTGTGAGCCGCCCAACCAGTCCGGCCACCGCGCAATCTCACCGTCTATCTGCTCCTGCAGCCGCTCACAGAGCAAACACTCAGCTCCTTTTACACTTTCTGACTCCATCAGAGGAATTAAACTAGGTACAGAGCTCAAGTACTCTGGAAATGTCAGTACATCCAGTTTAGTCAGTAAAGTTTGACATTCCAGGTTAGAAAGATAAGAACAAACCAAAGGGTTCTTCCCGCTCTCCTTATTAGCTGTTCTTGTTCAATCGGTAATAATTTGACAGTCAGGTTTCTCTGTGAATCAACTGGACCTGAAGTGATGGATGAACTCACCTGTAGCGGCTGCGTCTCCTGCGGCTGACGGGTTTGCTGTGAGCCGGAGACCGCCGGCGCGTCTGCGTCAACGCAGAGGTGTGTCCCATCCCGCCCAAACAGCCGTACCTAGGAGATGAAAATATTTACTTTGGATCACCTGAGCCAGGAACAGCTACATCCTCAGCAAATAAGACGGCTTTGTTTATTTAAAAATACATTAAAATTAGGCTCTTTCAATGAGCATAAATCAAGGAAAATCTGTAAAATAACCAACCAAAGAACGTTCAGTTGCTTTTATTGAACAGGAACCCAAACATCGACCGAACCGGGTTTGGTTCTGAGTTTGATCCGATTTTCAACCCAACAGTTAAAGTGAATATTTTCTATGTTTAAAGCCAACAAGAAAAATAATAACTTGTTACGAAACAAGTAATATAAGTTAACTAAGTAACTATTAAGTAATTTGGAAAACTGCACCTCTTAAGCGACAGTGAACTGTCACCATGGCAACAGAAAGTGACGCAGGAGCGTTCAGGCGCGACTTTATTGCAGTGAACTTTGCCTTATAAATATATATAGTTTCAGCCATGTCCCTCTGAAATAGTTATGTTTTGCTGAAAAGGGTTAAAGTTTATAAGGGATTTTTTAATGTCAAACATATATTTGAACATGAATCTAATTTAAACAGGTGATCTATTTTTATTGTTGTATTAATTAAGAAAAATGTTTTTTTTATATATATATAAATACCAGATGCCAGTCATAATAATTGAATAGTTTTTGTAAGTTGAGAAATGTAAATTATATCACATTATATCGATCACAGTCTTGTGTATTGAATCAAAATGCATGTGGAAATTTGCCTTTGGTGATTAAAAACACAATACACAACAGCTCTATTGTTAACATTGATTTAAATGTTATTTAACCAACTGATTACCAATTTATGTATTTATTTTTTCTGTCTTTTGCTTTTTGGTCACTCTTAATATTTTACAGTTTTTTTTTTAAATTATTTTAAGTATTTGAGGGGATGAATGCTTCCAAACAAACCGACACAAAGTGAAGAACTGATGTAAACATAAACCATTTATTATGTCTTATAATAACGACACTTATTTGGTTTAAAGATCTGCTTCAGTTTTGTGTTTTATGTCTCTTTGTGAAACTGAATCAGCTTTTTCTCAGGTGAAACATTTAACTGAACACAACCTTGAACAAGCAGCGTCACGCAGTTTAAAACTCAATATTTACTCAGTAAAACATGAAGAATGACGGATTATAACAAACAAACGTTTTGGCTTTATGATGTAGCTTCAGTTTGTTGGGGAGTTCATTATTGTTAGAAAGGTCTTGCCATATTCAATTGTTGATTATTGCCATTAATGTTTTGCCGTATAAGTTCATTCCTATCATTTTCTTTTTTGTTCATTTTTTGTTTTGATTTTTTAATCGAATTCGATTCAAATTCAAAATTATTTTATTGATCCCAAATGGAGGTTAAATGTTGTAACTCATTTTAATTCAAATAATTGGTGATGACTGTTGGCAGGAAAGAGCTCCTATAGAAGTCTGTATTACAGCGACCTTGAAGAAGCCTCTGACTGAAGAACGTTTTGTAGTTCAACTCAGATTTTATCCGACAGAACAAGCGGACATGCATAAACTGGAAGAAAAAAACGTATTTCAACGTTCCTACAATAAAAATCTGAAAAGTGTGGCATGACTTTGTGTTTACAGACTCAGACTGGACAGAGATGGTGAGTTTTTGGGCGTCAGCTACAAGAGTTGTAGAATTAATTTTACTTTTAAAAAGTAAACCCTTTAAAATCTTAACGTGTTTTTTTAAAAAATAATCTTTTAATTTGTCTATAAACTGTAAAATCAAATTTACCAACATTGTTGATAAAGAAATATAAAACGTTTAAATCTTCAGACTGCTAAAATTCAAGCATTTTAAACAGTTGAGTTTAAGATCAGAGTAAATATTCTGACTAATCATCTGCAATTAGTTTTGTTTGGTGGTATCAGAGTAAAGGGGCAGAATTCAAATACACACCACACTTTTCAGGTTTTGATTGATAAAATATCTTGACGAAATTAACCTTTTTCCATTCTGCTTTGTAAATGTGCAGGATTTTATGTTGGTTTATCATATAAAATAATAATAAACCACTATTTTACCGGCGCCCAGTGGAGGGCGCTCTAAGCTTTAGAAGGGAATCACCTTGAGTCAAAAACTTAAGTTTTGATTCGGGTTGAATTGAGAGATTTTTCTCTCATTTGAACTCTACTTTGAAACAAAACGTTAAATATGTGGGAGATTAATTTTATATTATAATTTCCCATAAACGTTTCAGCTGAAAAAGTCCAGAGCTTTGGGTCTCATAAGGATGAATCCTCTGGAAAAGTGTCATTCAGAAAGTTTTTGTTGTTAAAATTACGCTCAGTAGTCTGGAGGTAAATTATTAAAATTAATTTTACAGTCTGTACCGGCCTCTGTTTTCCTCCAATGGGAACTGTTTGGGCGGAGTCACGCCACGTAAGGTTAAACAGTTGACTTTAGTGTGAGGACATTTGGTCAACCTCGGAGAAGATTTACCTGTGATTAGAGGTAATTAATGAGTATTTATTGGGTTAATTAAGAGGTTTTGCCTCGCCTCTTTAAAGGGGAACTTACTCAGTTGTTTTCTGTTTTATTTACCTCAAGAGCAGGCGGCATACGTGGCATCCTGTGTGTGTGTGTGTGTGTGTGTGTGTGTGTGTGTGTGTGTGTGTGTGTTGTTATTGCTACTTCAGATTTGTACTATTATTTTAACAAAGTATGACCAAGTATGGCACTAAATATGGAGAAAAATCACTAAAGATACAGCAAACTGAAATGAAATGAGAGTGGTAGACTATTGAAATGTTCTTTTAAAACAGTTTTAACTGTTACGTTCTCACTGTTTTTCTTTATTCTACCCTAACCCTGACTGAAAACACCGACACGTGTTGGAAAATTAAATCCTAATCTCTCAAAGTGTTTACGGCTCATTCAGGTTTGTTATCGGCATCGGAATTTAACCTTTAAGTGACAGAAAGCAGCGTGTGTAATTTATTTACGTCTAGTCTGTGACCGGTGAGCTGGATACACATCAACTGGATAAGTAGCAAAATTCTCTTTGGTTTTTATTATTTGTGTATTAATAGATTTATTTATTTGATTTGATTTTTTAGCACAATTAGTTTTTATTGATAATATTCAGAGGGGAGATGAGAAGGAGGGAATAAAAACATTCAGCAAATGAGTCAAGGCTGGGAATCGAACCCGGGACTTCGGCATGGAGTATTAGCTTGGACATGAGTATGTAGCCCTCTTCATCCGTTCCGTGCGGACCTGAACGCATCTCCGCCTGTTTGTTGCATCAGCGGAAGAGAGGCAGGAGCCGGAGCCCACGTCCTGCTGGGTGGGAAGAACACGCGGGTAAACTTATGTCTCTTTAATAGCTTTTATTCTTAAACTGTAACATTTATAGCGCTGCTTGCTTAATGTTCGCTTCGAACTGTGACGACAGACGTTGGCGCGCGGGTTTTGTGTGAACGTGGCGGTTGAATTAGTAGCCGCACGTGCGCGAGCGAAAGGATAACGGCTGATTTCTCTGATGTTTCCGCATGTTCTCTACCTGTTTGCTAACAGTGTTAGCTGCTGCCTATCAGGCGGATTTGTGTTCTGTGTTGAAAGCTGTAGATGCTCCTGTTCGTGTGTGTTGTTATGGTGACCAAGATATCTGGTCAGGTTATTGTTTTTTATTACTGTCTCACAGTTAGCTGAAGCATGAGGAATTTACATTTACGATGTAAATCCCCTAATCTGGGATTATCCTAAACCAGGCAAATAGACTTATCTTTACTCGCCGGCTGGTTGGGTGGTTGGCATTGTAGTTTCACACTCACCTCAACATGCCTTTACATCCCTGTCCTGTTTCTGTACGTTCTCATTGTGTATTAGCGATGCAAGATATATCGGCAACAACATCGGCATGTGTTCGATAGGTAAACCTAGGCCGATAGTAACGGTTTTTTCCGTCTTGTTTGTGTTTCTATAGGAGGAGGCACTGTTGCCAACTGCTGAGAAAAACAGTAGCTATTGGTAGCCTATAAAAGTCCGAAAAAATAATAATAATAAAAATGATTCTGTGAATGTTCATATTGGATTTTGAGTTTGAGCTGCCTCCGACTTGCCTGCCCAGAATTCTGACTTCTGAAAATCGACTTTCATAGATAAATTATTATTATTATTAAAGTAAATTTCTCCCAAAAAACAAATAATTCTTGATTAATTGCAGAAATTTTCTAGAAAAAAACTTTTGACTTTGAAAAGTTGAAAAAAAAAATTTAAATTAACCCTTACATTTTCAGATTAACTTCAGATTTATTTATTTATTTATTTATTTATTTATTTATTTTTAAAAAAGCTTGGAAATTTCTCAGACTGAAAAATAAATAATTTGCTAGAAAGAAACCTAAAATTTTGAGATTAATCTCAGAAATTTTTTGGAAAACACGTGGAAATTTCTAAGTTTGAAAAGTCAAAAATTTGCCAGAAAAAAATTCAAACTATTTAGAAAAAACTTGAAAATTTATGAAAATTTGGAGGTGTTTTACTACTTTTTAAAACTATATATCTACAACGGGCCTAATATGGCAGCGTGTTTAAGTACCTCGACATGAGAGCATTAATAAGAGTGGGGTTTATTTCTGTAAGAAGCATGCAGCATTGTTTCAGTGCAATGATGATTAAAGTCTGTTTTTCTGGAGTTGCAACCCAGACTTTGCATTAGAGAGCCGTAGATTTAATATTATTTCTCTGTTATGCGTCTGTTGGTTTAGCGTAAATCCTCCTGTTAGCGTTTTCTGCTCCATTTGGTAACAAAGTCCTCGGGCTCTGGTCAGTTCTTCAAACCGATGAGGCACACCCAGTACCGGTTAAATCCTCTAAAATGATTCATGTGTTCACGTCTGAAGGCCGGGTGTTTGCTAGCATCTGCTGAGCAGGCGTCGCGACGTTTGGTGGTTTTATCATCCGCTCTGTTCCCAGATGGAGAAGCAGCCTCTGCCAGATGACGGTGATAAGACGGGAGCGCCGGACCCAGACGGCGGCGGCGACGCCGTGCAGCCGGCCGCCTCCGAGGCTCCGTCCCGGGCCGGATGGAACAGCAAGGTGGAATATTTTTTAGCCCAGGTGGGATTCAGCGTCGGCCTGGGAAACGTCTGGAGGTTTCCGTATCTGTGCCACCAGAACGGAGGAGGTGAGGAGATGTGACTCTCATCTGGAGGAAGAGCCGCTCCGGCTCAGGTTTATTTGAGCTGAAACAATGTTGCATCTAAAAGAAACTGTTGTCCTCCCCACTGGCTGGTCCACCAGTTTAACATTTAAAACCAAAAATACAAAGAAACATCTAAAACCAACTTCAGAACAAGATTTCAAAGAGTTCATCTGTAAAACTGCTATTACAAAGAAACTAAGTTTGAACTGTAAAACAGAACAACAAAAGGTGCTGCACTGCAAAAACTAAAAATCTTACCAAGTATTTTTATTTAGTTTCTTCTGCAAATATCTTAGTTCACATGAAATAAAACTAACCTACAAGTAACTTTCCATCAAATCTCGGGGCTTGTTTTAGGTGAGTAATTCCTGCATATAGATTTTAAAAAGTAGTTTCCACTAGCAGATTATTTCACTGATGACTTGGGAAAATGTCTTGCTACTGAGATAATTCATTAATCATGTAGTGGATGTTTCCTGCTGAGGCGTTCAGTGACGTTTTATTGTGAAACAGAACAGTTTTTCTCTAAAGCCCTGAGACGTTTTCTTTTCTATTTAACTTAAGGCGATTCCACACTTTTAAAACTTTTTGTCTCTTTCTTTCTCTTTTTGTTTCTCTGCTAACTGCCGTTAGCATTCGTCAACAGTTGCTTTGCGCAACACAAATAATCATCTGGCCGAAACACGGCACGCTAAGTAGTAGAACATAACCTGACTGAGCCTAAATGATTAATTTTGATGGGTAACACAAATAAAGTTATTAATGCAAGTTTTGATTCACACAGCAAACAAAAACAATAACAGCCATAAAACTCTTGTTTGTACGAAGTCATTGCAGGTTTTAAACCGGATTGGTTAGTTTGTCCTCAGGCGGTGAATGAAGGTGTGATGACATTAATGCATGTGTTCATAATTCAGCAGCATGTTCAGACAAACAGGATCTGATCAGAGGAAAGTCGTTTACATTCATTTTCACAGATTTACAAATTTTCCTGAGCTTCAAAATGAAGTTGGGAATCCAGAACAAATCCCAGATATCAGGAAAAAACCTATTTTGTTTTCAATTCAAATCGCATGAAGTCGGTTTTGGTCCAATTCCAGGACAGAAAACGGTCGTAACTTTTCTGTTATTCTGCAGCCAGAAGCTGTTCGTAACCTCTGCAGTCTTTTCAGCTCCGTGTTCATCACATCTGCTTTCGGCCGCCTCTCTCCAGGAGCCTTCCTGCTGCTCTACGTGTTGCTGATGCTGGTTGTGGGAATCCCGTTGTTCTTCCTGGAGCTGGCGGCCGGCCAGGACATCCGGCAGGGAAGCATCGGAGTCTGGAAGTACATCTCTCCCAGGCTGGCGGGAATCGGTTACTCCAGCTGTGTGGTAGGGAAACCTACCGACGTCTGCAACGCAGCGAGAAGCATCTGGATGAAAAGTTTATTATTCTGATGAAATACGAGCAGAAAAACACCAAGAGAACATCTCTGATTTATCACTTATCTGGAAATCCATCCAGATATCTAGTTTTCACCACCAGGATCATGCTAGCATAGCTTGCTTTCTGTTAAAAAAGTAACAATTCAAAAATGACTCAAAATAAAATGTTACTGATATTTGAGCATTCTGAGTGGATTGTCAGGATGAGGATTTGGGTTCTCTACAGAGTTTTGTTTTTTCCTGCAGGTCTGCTTCTTCGTGGCGCTCTACTACAACGTCATCCTCGCCTGGAGCCTCTTCTACCTCGGGAACTCCTTCCAGTACCCGTTGCCTTGGCAACAGTGTCCCGAACACGGAAACGTAACGGGTAAAAACACAAAGCAGTGAAGTTCCCGGCCAGGAGGAGCTGGTTGGTTTCTGACGGTGAGGCGTCTGTTTTGGCTCCAGAGAAGGAATGCGAGGCGAGTTCCCCGACGTCGTTCTTCTGGTACCGCAGAGCGCTGAACATCACCGACTCCATCGACCAGGTGGGATCCTTCAACCCCTACATCGTGGGCTGCCTGCTGGCCGCCTGGACCATCGTCTGCCTGGGGATGTTCAAGGGCATCAAGTCCTCCGTCAAGGTCACTCACCAGCTTCCTCCTTCAAGCTGAAGCGATTCTGTTGGAAGCTTCTCCGTTTCAGTTCTGTGTTTGGAAAGTGCTTGATTTCTTCATCAAGTCCTTGAAAGTTCTTAATATTGAAACTTCATTAAGTAGAATCTAATGTTTGGTTTAAACTTAAATTTATAAAACCCGCATTGAGCTGAAACTAGATATTTAAAAACACTTCATTTTTCTCACTGTTGGAGTTAAATCTGACTAAACTTTTCTTGTTTTAACTCAGAATCACCTAAATTATCTCTATTTGCTAACTGCCCGAAAACTTTACACAACTTTTATCTAAAGATATTTTTGTAAGTATCTCAGCCCAGAGAGATTTAAAAACATTTAGTCGTGTTTTAGTTGACCTTTTCCTGCTGTGGAACGCAGAGTGCTGTTATTAACGGTAATAAATTATAAAATATGAATTGAAACTGCATTTTTTTAGTTTATTTGTGGTGTTTTTATCTCCAAAATGTGGAGCTGGAAAAGTTTGAAAACTTACCTAGAAATCAGGCACCCAGGAGTTTGGAAACATTTCAGATAATTAAAACAAAAACCTGATCAATAATTATTGATATCGACCGATATGAAGGGCTTGACCCGTTTTTAGGCTTCAGTTTAACTAAATATTTGATGGATAAACCGCTAAACCCAGCTAGCAGGAGCTAATGCTAAGCTGCTAACACATAGAAGCTAACGGCAGCAGCTAAACCTTTCAGCCGCTCGAATCGACACCTGGCAGGTTTTCCAATAATCGATCAGATTGATGTTCTGTTCGGTTCCAGGTCATGTATTTCTCCTCCATCTTCCCCTACGTGGTTCTGGTCTGCTTCCTGATCCGCAGCCTCAAGCTGGACGGCGCCGCAGAGGGAATCGCCCACATGTTCTACCCCAAGGTACTGCCCGGCCCGACCGGCGTTTCCCTTGGCCGACCTTTGACCTGTCGCCGTGTGCTTGCAGCTGTCGATCTGGGCGGACATCCAGGTGTGGCGCCAGGCGGCCACGCAGGTGTTCTTCGCTCTGGGCCTGGGCTTCGGCTCCATCATCGCCTACTCCTCCTACAACCCCAAGAACAACAACTGCCACCGCGACGCCTTCACCGTCTCCTCCATCAACTTCCTGACCTCGCTGCTCGCCACGCTGGTGGTGTTCGCCGTGCTCGGCTTCCGCGCCAAGAAAAGGGTCATGACCTGCGTGGCCAGGTGGGGTCAGAGGGCAGAGGGGGGCGGGGCAGGTCGGCCATATCGGTTTCCTTTCCTCACTTTTTATTTTTTCGTTTTGCCCTTTTGGATTTTCTTCATTCTAAACTATTTATTTTTTATACTTTATTTCCTTTTTGTTTCCTTTTTTTATTTTTCTTTGTATTCATTTCCTCCTTTTTTGCATTTTTTGTTTTATTTTTTTCAGTTTTTTGTTTTTATTTCCTCTATTCTCTCCATTTCATTTGTTCATTATTTTTGTTAGTTTTTTGCGTTTTTCTGCCTCATGTTTTTATTCTTGTCTTTTTACTTTGTAAGCTTTTCTTTTCGTCTCATTTCCTTCGTTTGTCTCCTGCAGGAACCTGAAGCAGCTGCAGTGGCAGCATCATGCCGACATGCCGACCTTTAACCTTTCTGACCCGGACTCTGTGGACTGGCGGGCCTACAGCTCCTGGTTCAACCAGCATAACGAGACTCTGGCGAATCTGACCGACTGCGACCTGGAGAAGGAGATGCAGACGGTGAGGCGTGGTTTCAGGTTGACCTTTGACCTCTGGACAGCTCTGACGGCGGCTGCGTTTGGTTGCAGGGCGTGGAGGGGACGGGCCTGGCCTTCATCGCCTTCACAGAGGCCATGACGCAGCTGCCCGGTAGCCCCTTCTGGTCGGCGCTCTTCTTCCTCATGCTGCTCAACCTCGGACTCAGCACCATGTTCGGAACCATGGAGGGAATCCTGGCGCCGCTCCGGGACCGCTTCGCCTCGCTGGCCCGCAACAAGACCAAGCTCACTGGTAAACCACCAGTTCAGACTGGGAGAAAACCAGTTCAGACTGGGAGGAAACCAGTTCAGACTGAGGGAAACCAGTTCAGACTGGGAGGAAACCAGTTCAGACTGAGGGAAACCAGTTCAGACTGGGAGGAAACCAGTTCAGACTGGGAGGAAACCAGTTCAGACTGGGAGGAAACCAGTTCAGACTGGAGGGAAACCAGTTCAGACTGGAGGGAAACCAGTTCAGACTGGAGGAAACCAGTTCAGACTGGGAGAGAACCAGTTCAGACTGAGGGAAACCGGTTAAGGCTGGTGGGAACACGGAACTGCCTCGGGGGAAAC